CAAGAACTGTATTAATATTGTTACATATAGTTCTTTAGGAACCATGTAATTTGAGAGAAATATGAAGGCAAATTCATCTTAATAATATCACAATACATAATAATGAATAGTTATGAATATTATAGATTAAACTTGCAACATATATAGAGTTTACATACATTGTAAAAATGATTTTTCCCAACCAATCAAAATTAACACCAACTATTTATAATGAATTTTCTCATAAAATAAAATAATGTCTCATTCTCTCAATTCAAATATGACATATATGATTTTTCCCCCTCAAATGTCACAACAAAAACTAATTTAATTGTAGATATCCAATTTTCTTTTATACTATTTCAAAATGTATAAACTTAAAGAATTAAATAATATTTGAATTAATCCAAATATCATAAAAAAATTTTAAAACTATAATTATCATTTGCACGTACTTAATTTATTCTCACAAGCAAACTCATGTAATTAAAAAGGAAAAAAAATATAGAAGATCTTTCAAAATAAACTTTTTGAGAATAAAGTATAAAATTAAACGTATTGTTCAAAACTTCTTAACATTAATATATACTACCTTCAGTCCTTAATATAAGATTTAATTGACTAATTTGAAGGGATTAAGAAAATTAGTTAAGTTAGTTATTTATTATAAATATGTGTTGAATTTCCTAAAATACCTTTACTAATAATGTATATTAGCTAGAATTACTATTTGATAAAACCTTTAACATATGTAATTACTACAAGGACTATTTTAAAAAAATAAATAAATATGAAAGACAAAGTGAATTGAGGTCTTATATTTAAAACCAAATCAAAAGTTAAATAAACTCTTATAATAAGGAACGGAGGTAGTATTATTTATTTAATTTGTAATACTCAAAATATGCCTTTTAGAAAATTACTTACATATTGTATGAATACTTAAGTTTTCTTTCTCAACTAATTTCTTATTTTGTTAAACTCAAAACAACTTCAAATGCTTATGATAAAATTTATTGTCAATAAACCACAATAAATCATGCAAACTAAGATAATACAAATAGCATATAAATAAACAAAATATGAATAATATATCATCTCTTTAATTTGCCAACAAATGGCACAATAAAATATTAATATTATAATATGACTATCTTTTAGGCTATTCTATTGATATGAAAATAAATTATATTCACAATTCGTATTCATAAATATGCAAATAAATTGGTACAATAAATTAATATTTCAAAGTGACCAATAACTACTTTTTGGTATATTTTGTTTCATACCACTCTGGAATATTTATCAATATATTAATATCAAATACTTATAATTATATATTTCTACCAATCAATCACAAGAAATTGTAATATCATATAACCTTCTAGATATAGTCTTCTAGGCTAATAGTTATATTTTTCAACTTTGACTAATTTGAGCATATTTCTTTACAAGATATTACCTTGAGCATCATAACTACGTTTAATATTTTTCATAATATCTCTTGATATTTTGGTTTCATAACCAATTTTAACATTTACTTTCAATGGTTGGTACATATATTTGTCCATATGACTTCTGGTCATATTATAATATTTGCTTGTAATTGTTTTTTATTATAGAGGTATCACTATCTCCTAAATTATGGTTCAATAGCCAAGACCAAAAATCATTGCCCTTAAATTATTAATTCCATCAATATAGTATGGTCATGTTCTTTATCACTCTTATAGACATGTTCTTTGCTTTCAATAACACATAATCAATTTCTTCAAATATTAGTCTTCAAAACTATAGTAAAAGTCTTTCAAATAAAACACTTTTGTTCCATTTGGTGTTTAAACCATTAGCCTTTAGGGCTTTGATATTTGTCACTATTAAATCATCTAGGTGCCATAGACTTTTCTTGTCATGTCATTTATATTCATAGTGTTCTCTTGCAAAAGAACCATTACAAAAGTGATATAACTTTTGGGTCATTTAATTACAAAATCAAGAGTATTATGACTTCTAGTCATTCAATAAAATGAAATTAAAAAAATACTGTAATGAAATAAATTAAATAAATTTAAATTCATAATCAAATATAAATAACAAATAAACCTAAATATAAATCATATTATATAATTATATATATAATACTATGATAGATATAAAATGACATAATATAAACTAAACAGATATATTTAAATAAACAAACAAGAAGTATTGAAAAATAAATAAAGCAAATAACACAATATCATAATTGGGAGATAATAGAATTTAAATGTATAGAAAGAATAAATTAATAACTAACATAAAAGAGCAACATAATATATAACAAATGTGTAGAAAATTAAAATTGCATATGATAATAGGATAAAAAGAATAATTGAGTAATATAGAAGTTAGTAGAAAGTATCATCATATACTATAGAATATATTAATTTACAAAAGACTTATACCTCAAATCTTTAGAACAAACTCGTGCTGATAACGTGTTATGAAAAATGAAAAAAGTACAAACATTGAGATAAGGGAGATGGAGAAAAATAAGAGGAAATCGGAGGAGAAATTAAGAAGGAGTTCTCATTCACTTTATTGTCTTAAATGTGTGTACATCATCCCTTGTTTATAGGACCCAAATATTGAAGACTAACCTAAAGAGTTGCAAATATATAAAGAAGGGAATTAAGCAACATAATTGTACAGTTGAAGGTTATAGGAAATAAATACTAGAAACCCTTTAATTTGAGAGTTATAAGGTATAATGCTACTACCTATGAGAAGGAATCCCAAGGGACTAAGGAGTTATGAACATCCACATAGCATCATATTTATAACATCACCGTAATATGTGGATTGTTTGTTCATTATATTAGCTTTTTCAAGCCCTAAGATATCAACTTGTGTTGTCAAAAGAAGAAATTGATACACGTTGTACTTTTTTCCCCCCTTATCTATAGTTTTATCCTACTAGATTTTTCTAATAAGATTACTTAGTGTATCAATGAATGGTGTATTATTTTTTTTTTCTACTAGATTTTTGTCCCATAGGGTTTTTTTAGTTGAAACTTTTTCATTTAGGCACGTTCATATATAATGAATGTCCCATAAGAAGTGTTATAAATAAAATAATATTTTTGTAGACATCTATATATCTTTTATTATCTTTTATATCTTATATCTCCAATATCTCCTATTATCTCTATATTTTACAGTTATCTCTTATTATTATATACTTTGTGGATTTTGTTAAAGTTGTAAAAGTATGCCTATAAATAAAGGGTATGTATCATGTATTTAATACAATGAATAAAATGAGAAATACTCTTATTTTTTATTCTGTCTAATTATATTCTCTTCTTCTCTACTATTTCTTTAATTTTATAACAATTTGCATGGTTATTGCTATTTATGTACTTGTGGAAAAAAAAATACGATGTTTAACGCATTTTATCTAAAAATTTATGTACATTTGTAAGATAACCTTGGGAGCATTTCGCTATTTTTTCCCCCCTCAGTTGAGGTGCATTTCGCTACTTTCATAGTAGCAGGACCCTTGCTACAAAAAGTAAGGTACAATAACCACATGGTAGTGACCTAGTGGTAACTTCACTTGGTCCCTTAACCAAGTGATGGGGGTTCGAATCTCACCCTTGGGTATGAAAATACTTCCATGACCAGCTGTTTGCTCTTAAGTGGAGGTACCCGTGGCGAAGGGATTAGTCACTACTACCGGCAGTGGATACCTTATGTAAGTCCAAAAGAAAAAAAGTAAGGTACAATTAGAGATGGGAATGTAGGCTGACCCGACTCTACAGAACTGATTCTGCAAAGTTAGTGGGTTTAAAAGGGTCTCCCCTCTAAAGTTAAAATTTTAAAAAATCCCAATTTACTAGATCCGGCCCTTAAGCTAACGGGCTCAAGGCTAGTCGGTGGGCTTTCAGCCCATTTAAGAAAAACATATATTATTTTTCATATTTCTCATATTTTTTTATCAAAAAATAAAAACAAACCAATGAAATTATTAATAAAAGACATAACTATAAGTAAAATTAAGTTACAAATACAAAATATCTTGATATCTAAATATCTAAGAACATCTAAAATACCCATAAGCAAAAAACTTACATTCAAAAGTTTCATCAATAGTGCAGATGTGCAATAAGCAAATACTATTATTAATTTTTTCAAACTTCATCATTACTATAATCAGTTGTTCTTCTTTCGTAGCAAAAATATCAAGTTTGTCTTCTTTATAGAAATTTCACTTTTAAATTTTACAATCTAACTGTTATTTTACTTTAGTTTAAAAAGCATTGTTATTAAAACTCATAAATTTTTAATTCAAAATATAAAATCACAAGTTATTTAAAAATACTCTCTTATCAAATATATATAGTTTTAAAATATCAATACGTATAATATAAATCAAATCATTATTAAAGTCCAAATTAGCTTTTGTTTAAAATTTAATTAGAAAAATAATTGTCTAAAACCAAATAAATCAAATCATTATATGAAATTTAATTTTAAAATAATAATAGTAACTTAAATATTTAAAATATCATTAATAATGGAAAAAATTAATAATATTATAATTATATAAAAAAATTTTAAAAAAAAAAAAATTATAAAAAAACCTAAAGAGGTTGGCCTGTTTAAACCATTTGATATTTTTTATTTTTTTAAAAATTGTTTTAGGGCTGTCGGATTCAAGCCCTCTGTCATATGGGGCCAATCCTTTTAAACTCATTTTTTATTTGAAGGGAAAAAATTTTAAAACCAATCCTCATAATTTTCAGGCATAAATAGACTAACCTAACGGGTTTGACTTGTTTTTTTAGTTCTAGATACAATAATCAAATTTAGAAGGTAATTGACAACCATGATAAGTATTTTTTAAGAATATATTTTTAATAAATTGAGATAAATTTTTTTATATATTTACTTCGTATCTTATAAAAATATTTTTAAAATTATGATTTTTTATTCATCAAAACACCAATCAACGACGGTGTCATTTTTTGCTCTGCTTCAACGAGTTTACGACAGCCGAAAGCGCTGGAGCAGCAGCGGCGCGGCGCCTTCACCAGCGAGCCGAGCAGCAACCACAGCGCGAAGCCGTGCTTCTTCTTCTCTATCTCGGCCTCTCCCCTTCTCCCCTTGCTGGCGTCGACCAGTGTCCAGCACTCGAGCGACCGCGACCACATCCTCCTCCTCGATCTCTTCCTGGTATATCTTCCTTTCTCTTCTTTTGCTATTTTCTTTATCTATGTCTTTGTCAACTTTTTTGGCTGTAGTCACTTTGGATTCGCTGAAACTGTATATGGGCTATTGGATTTGCTGAAACTGTATATGGGCATAGTAGATATGGTTGGCTCTTCTGCATTTAATTTTCCACCGATTTTTTCCCACTAGCCTGCCATTGATTGTAATTTGTAAAGCGTCCAATCAATGAATTTTAAGTCATGCGTGTTTTCTGGCTAGACTTAACTGGCATTGTCCTCATTTTTGTTTTTTTGCTTTCCATCATTTTGGATGTGAGTCCAATGGATGAATCACTAACCTATCTTCAGATATTATGGTTTGAATGACTGAAAGGTTAATGGATCCTTGCTACTCCTGAATCATCAAAACCTTGTTATGATTTTCCAGATTAAAAATTAAACTTACCAAGACTCAGACCAGCCTAATGTATGAATTGAGGCAAAAGAAACAGCTTAAGTTGTATAAAAAATCATTCCTGCTTACTTGGTGGATTAAATTGAAGCCCGAGGAACTATTGTGAAGTGAATTTATTTTTTTATACAATGAAATCAGAATTCTATGGGTGTGTATTGGTCTGTAATTTAAAGTTAGAATTTTATTTTTGAAGAGAATTTATTTATTTATTTTTTATACATTAAGAGGACCTGAACTTGTAACTTTTTGTGATTGTTGTCAGCATCATATCTTCCTTGCAACAACAAAGAGAAAAAACTCAATGGACTAATGGATCATTAGTTGTAAATGCTAAACGTAAGTCACCTTCTCTTCAGGAGACTGAAGAATCAAAGCCTAAGAAGCCAAGAACTTTGGCCTCTGATGTTTGGAAGTATTTTAGTAGTGTTGATGTTGATGGGGTAATTAAGGCAAAGTGTAATGGTTGTCAAACTCTATATGCATCGGGTGGGGCTTACATATATTGGAAAAAATGAAACCATGGGAATGGATCCAGAAACAGTACAGTTAAGGATCTCTTGTTCTTGTCATTTGAGATGAGCTTGAAGCTAATAGTTTTATATAATTTTGCACCAGCTTATAAGAAGTTGAAAATTTTGATAAACTTGGATATACACTAAGTAACAAACTAAGCACAGAGGGTAAGTCCACGACTTCAACTTTATTCTACATAAATTGCTATGAGCAGACATTTGATTATAAAGACTTAAACAACTTGTTTGGTTGGGCGAAGGGTATTTGGGCAAGAATGAGGTGAGAAAGTCAAGGATTAGGGAGTTCGGTGCAACAATGTCAGCATCAACTGAGAATTGACAGAGAAGAGGGAATTGGCACTGAAGGTTACGGCAGTGATGGGGGTGATAGAAAATGGTGTTTGACTGCATTGGAGGGTGAAAATTTTTCCTTCAAGCTTTGGATTCCATGCCTATATCTATTATGCTTCTTTGCAAATAATTATAGTTGTTCTCTTTGGCTGCATTACATTTGTGAGGAGCAAAGATAGTTAGTGTGGACTATTTGCTGATGTTAGGTTGTGCAAAAACTGCAAATATATCATGCTTCTCTCCAAATAATTTTTCAATGTATGAAAATGCTGAGAATAATGAACTTCTCTTTATCAATACATCTGAATATGACGAGGCTAAATGTATGCAAGCAAATTTTCATTCTGTTTCACTTCTGTGTAAATCCGGTGCCAATACGACTTTATCAACCTGTTTTGGTTCTTCATCGATGGTCCCGTAAATTCACCTCCGTCACTTCCTCCCCACACCTGGCATAAAACTTCGCTCCCTGTTTTGAAGGAAGCATTATTCCTTGGATGCTGTACTGTTCTCTCCTTTTCTTGTTACCAAACATGTGAGCCCAGAAAAGGAGGCTGGTTTCCATTTCATGCTCTAAAATTTTGCCCAACCAAACAGGTTCTTCATGTCTTTCTAGTCAGATGTCTGCTGATAGCAATTGCTCGGAATGAAGTCGTGGACTTACCCTTTGCCCGACCAAACAGGTCCTTTTAAGTCTTTATAGTCAGATGTCTGCTAATAGCAATTGCTATGGAATGAAGTCGTGGACTTACCCTTTGTGCTTAATTTGTTATTTAGTGTATATTCAAGTTTATCAAAATTTTCAACTTATAAGCTGGTGCAAAATTATAAAAACCATTAGCTTGAAGCTCATCTCAAATGACAAGAACAAGAGATCTTTAAATGTACTATTTCTGGATCCATTCCTCTGGGTTAATTTCTTCCAATATATGTAAGCTCTACCAGACATAAAGAAGTAATTGGTTAATGGAATTCTCAGGTTTCATCTTGTGGTACATGAGTATATTTTTGTATTAGCTGACGAAGTTAATGCAATGTCCCAACCCATTGATTCCTCCTGGCAATCTGAAATGTCCACGGTGATATGGGACATTGCGCTATTGAAAGATTATATATTAGTGACAACTGAGGACTACACGTGTTTATAAGAATAATTAATTTTTAATATGTTTATTTAATAAATATATTTCTCCTTTTCATTATTGATTTATTGATTTATTACCTTTTTTCCTTATTTTATCAGGTTATTGACATGAAGAATAATGAATAAGCTTTTAGCTAGATATACATCGATTTTGCTTCATCAACACTATATACCACGTGTTCATCTCCATCAAGTGATACGACTCAGACTCCGCCACTTTGCCACTAGGTACACAGCAAAGATCACCTCCACCTCTTCAACAGGTCGGTCTCTTGCCGCTGAGGTTACTGGGCCGCCACCACTTTCAGTTGACAATAGAGGGTATCTACTTCCTCGTTATGACCTAATTTGTAAAGCAACAAAAATTCTCCTTCGTCAGCTCCCACAATCCACATCCACAACTCTATCTTTTGATGACCCTTTTTCAGATCTCTCTGATTACCTACACTCACTCTCTATAACTCTCACCCCCTTGGAAGCATCTGAAATTCTCAAAGCATTGAAAACCCCTTCACTTGCCTTGAGGTTTTTCCAGTTTTGCTCTTCCCTTTACCCAAATTTCCGTCATGAGTCCTTCACCTACAACCGTCTCTTCCTCATCCTCTCAAAGTCAACCTCACCTCACCGTTTTGATCAGGCCCGTTCAATCATTGATGATATGCTTCAACATGGAGTACGTGGCTCCATCTCTACCATCAATATCTTGATTGGGTTCTTTGGAACTGGTGAGGACTTAGAGAGGTGTCTTGGATTGGTGAAGAAATGGGATTTAAGACTGAATGCCTACACTTACAAATGTTTGCTTCAGGCATACTTGAGGTCCTATGATTCAGGCAAGGCTTTAGATGTATATATGGACATGCAACGGCGTGGTTATAAGTTGGACATTTTTGCATATAACATGCTTTTGGATGCTTTGGTCAAGGATGAGAAGGTTTGAATTTAGCATTATCTGTTCGTAGCCAGAATTCAGATTGTACATTATACCATGCTCTCATCTGTGTAGTTTTGTCATGGAAATTTGAATTATTTGCTCAATGGTTTGAATTACTTGTTTGAAAATTAAATGGGTATGTCATCTCAACAGTTTTAGGGTTGTCAAAGATTTGCCGCATTGAATTGATGGACAAGTAATTCAGTTCTACGGATCTTGAAGTTATTTTCAAAATACATATTACATTAATCCTGATTCTTTGATATGTGATTCTTTGGCAGGTGAACCAAGCATACAAGATATTTGAAGACATGAAACGGAAGCATTGTGAGCCTGATATGTTCACATACACCATTATGATCAGAATGACCGGCAAAATTGGTAAAACTAATGAGTCAATAGCCCTTTTTCAGGAAATGTTGAATAAGGGTTGCACTCTTCATTTGATTGCTTATAACACTATGATTCAGGCACTTGCTAAGGGCCGGATGGTTGACAGGGCCATCCAACTCTTCTCAAAAATGATGGAGAATGATTGTCAGCCCAATGAATTCACATACAGTGTGCTTTTGAATGTTCTAATTGCTGAAGGGCAACTAAGTAAACTTGACACTGTTTTGAAGTTATCGAAGAAATATCTGAATAGGAAAATATATGCATATCTTGTAAAGACTCTATGCGAATTGGGCCATTTAAGTGAGGCTCACAGGATATTTTGCAACATGTGGAGCTTTTTTAATGAGGGTGACAAGAATGCTTGTATGGCCATGTTGGAGAGTCTATGCTGCTCTGGTAAAACAATGGAGGCTATAGAGCTTCTAAATAAAATTCATGAAAAGGGCATCAGTACTGATACAATAATGTATAACACGGTATTCACAGCTCTTGGAAAATTGAAACAAATATCACACATTCATGATCTTTTTGAAAAGATGAAACAAGATGGACCTCTGCCTGATATATTTACCTACAATATCCTGATTGCCAGCTTTGGAAGGGCTGGAAGAATTGATGATGCTATTAAAATTTTTGAGGAACTGGAGACTAGCACTTGTAAACCTGATGTTATCTCTTATAACTGCTTGATTAATTGCCTTGGTAAAAATGGGGATCTTGATGAAGCTCACATGAGGTTTATAGAGATGCAAGAGAAAGGATTAAATCCGGATGTTGTCACTTATAGCACACTTATTGAATGCTTTGGCAAGACAGATAAAGTTGAGATGGCTAGTAGATTGTTTGATGAAATGCTTGCTAAAGGATGCTCTCCTAATATTGTCACGTATAATATCTTACTTGACTGTCTTGAAAGGGGTGGGAGAACTGCCGAGGCTGTGGAACTTTATGCAAAACTTAAGCAGCAAGGATTGACCCCAGATTCAATTACTTATGCAGTTCTTGAACGGTTGCAAAGTGGTGGGCACAGGAAGTTTAGAGTTCGTAGGCAAAATCCTATCACTGGCTGGGTTGTTAGCCCTTTATGAAGGTGCATGCAACAAAATTTTATTGTCAATTGTGGGTTGCTTCTGGACATTTTTGGGGCTGTGTGCTAAATCTATAGCTTTGTAGTTGATCTAGAAGCTAAATTAGTATGGCCATTTGATAATGGGAGCGTCAAGAGGAATTTATGCTGGATGACTGGGGAATTTTCTACTTCTCCATTGCATTTGGATGTGCCACTTGCCAGGCATTTGCTCTTTGTTCTACAAGCTGATTTTGGTTGTCAAGCAAGGTAAAGATCATTACTCTTCCTAATGGCGAATGATTAAGAAAGGGAAAAGAGAATCTGGAGTGATATGGTCGATGGTGGCAGGTAATCATTTGTAAATTACAAATAAAACCATCTGTTTAATTATGTCTTTATTACCATTTACTTTATTGTTCTCTGCATGTGTTTAGTCGTAACTTTCTAGGGGGCATGGGGAATAAAATTTTTACTATTTCTTTTTTTCCCGTGCCTTTAATTCTATCGGTACTACATCAGTGTTCTTATTATAAACACTAATATTTTTTTGTTCTTTTACCACCACGGTATTATGTATGTGAGGGCTGTTTACTTATATTAGTAATTAAGTTTTTTTATATCAAGCATTTTGACTATGATTTGGCCATTTGGTTTTCCTTAGTCTGCGTTTGGTATGCACGGAGATAAAGGAGAATGGGAGAGGAAAAAATGGAGTAATTTAGGTATATGTTTCCCAGATTTCCATCGAACTTCCTTGCAGTTGTAGGAATCTGCCTTCCCTCTGCTCAATGGAATGGACCATTTCTCCTGGGAGAAGTAAAAAGACCATCTTGCCCCTCTCAAATCCCTCCTCTACAATTGAACTTTCTACCTTCCTACCTCATCCTTCTTGAGCCGATGGAGCTTCATCTTCCACCAGAGTTCATAACTTCGACGGAGAAGAGGCCTGGTGCTTTGCCTGTAGAGTATGTTGGGTTGGGGTCACTTTTTTAAAATTAGAAGGCTCTAGAGGCATAGTACATCTAGCTTCAGTTCTCATATATATAGTTATCATCCTTTTTTATCTTCATTGGTTTGAAATCTCACAAAATCTGAGCTTGGGTCGCTTTTCTTTTTCGAACTTGCTATGTTCTGACTGCATTTGGGTTTTACCCCATTTGAATCACTGGGATTTTGATCTTTGCTTTTTATATTGGGTCATATGATGGCGGATGATGCACCTTTAGATTATGCTTCAATTCAAGTTTGCTGCAACCAAAAGAGGTTAGCTTTGATGCTAAAGGGAGATCGAAGTGGGCCTTATGCTTGAAGCAGAATGTATCACTTCATTGGCTTCTGGGTTGACCGTTGCCGGTAGAAAATTAATTGTTCAGCTCTTCGTAACTTGCACATGTAAGATATGACGAATAAACGCTTGTACTGTATTTTTTTTTAATATTATATGTTCCTAAATTAATTGCAAGCCTAGTTGTTTGGACCTTAATAAATAGCTTTATGATGGAGGCTTTGCCACGTACAATATCATGTTGTAGGAATACTTACCCTTCGTATTTCTTTGTTTTTCCTTTTTCACCTGAACACTTCGTATTTCCAAGTGTTCTTGCTTAATTTCTAGTTGTTTTATGTCACAAATTTGATGATGCCTTATCTTCGTCTTAACTAAGATAATATCACATCTCTTGCGGTTTCCCCCCGCCAAAATAAATAAATAAAACTCTTCTATGTTCTTCACCAGGCATGATGCAATGGTTCTGCAAGCCCTGACGTTGATTTGTGTTGTAATAATTCTTTGCATCTCAAAATGAACTGTGACCTTTTAGATGCTAATTTCTATCTGTGACTGAGACTGAGTGAAGAGATGGACATTTTTTAAAATGAGTTATAAATGTTTTATCAAGGTTTGCAATGGGTCTTGTATAAGAATTAATGTTCGAGGTGTCATAAACGGAGGGACTATTTTATATATGGTGGTGACTATTCTATTGAATGCACGAAACATCTTTTCTTGCAGTGTACTATCTCCGGTTCTAATTATAAGAGTTAGTTGACTAATTTGATAAGATTAAAGAAAGAAATTTAGTTATTTATAATAAATAGATGGTGTTTTTTTTAAAATATCATTACTAATCAAGTATATTGACTAGAACTATCATTGTTAGAAAGACTATCTTGCGAAAAAATAAATATAAGAGACAGTGGATTGAGATTTTATATTTAGGATTAAAACAAAAGTCAAACAAAATCTTATACTACCTCCGGTCCTTAATATAAGACTCTATTTGACTTTTATTTTGGTCTTAATTATAAAACTCCAATCCACTTTGTCTTTCATATTTATGTTTTTTTTTTTTCCAAGATAGTCCCTTTAATAATTGTAGTCCTAGCCAATATAGTTGATTAGCAAGGATATTTTAGGAAAACACTATCTATCTATTACAAATAACTAACTTAACTTCTTTTCTTAATCTCCTCAAATTAGTCAATTGGGTCTTATAATTAGGACAGGAGGTAGTATTAAAGACAGGAGGTGGTAGCTTAGTTCTTCACAAACTGGCAATAAGGACTTCTAGAAATACTGCCGCTGCTAGGGATGTTATAGGATCTCCTGTTGGTGAAGTGAAATGGCTATAATCAGAATACAGAAGCATTCAAGCTGTGTATTTGCCTATTTGGGGAATTCCAAATTGTTTATGTTCCTCATGGTATTATTAAAACTATAGATATTATTAAGTGAAGTAAGACCTTTCAATCTCTAGTCCTAATTATAAGATCTCATTTGTAGTTTACAAAAAAAATCTTATAATTAGGACCGGATGTAGTATTTATTATCATCTTTGATCTATAATATAAGAACTAATTGGAAGTTAAGTTTTGTTGTAAATATAAAATCTGAATTCATTTTGTTATCTATACTTATCATTTTTTTTCAAATTGCACATACTAATGAAGTTTGCATTAAAGAATAGTTTTAATTAATGCAAATGATTTAAGAAGACATTTTAGAGAAACTAATGTTATTTTTTACAAATAATTAATTTAATTAATTTTTTAATCTATTCAAATTAATTAAATAGATCTCATGTTAAATATTGAAAATAGTATAATTAATCTATATCCTGTATTGGGTTATGATTAAAAAAGACACAAAACAAAAGAACAGAACTCTGGTGCATATCAAAGCATACATTAAGGTCTCACTATAAGAAAAATGTCCAAGAGGCAGAACTCATGATGTTCAATCTAGGATGAGGAACAAGAAACAAGGAAATGATGAGGAACATTATGTGATTTCACAACCACATGAACATTATGGGATCGATATAAAAATGATATCGGTTTTGATGGGGTCTAAATATATTTAAATATTGAGTTTTGGTTCAAAATTTTTTCTTTTATGGGATTTTTAATTTTAATTTTTTAGCATTTTTTTCATTAAAAGCTCAAAATCTTCCAATTATGTAAATATCATTTCGTTTCTCAATTTAATTCTCCATTCCGCTCAATGGTAGCTCAACCATGAAAATGTTTTTTTTGGGTCCCAATAGAGCCACTAACGAGTCCAATTAATAGTATGATATTTGAGAATGTCTAGTTTAATACGGTTCATTAATCACTTCCTAAAAGTTGTTATGTTATCTGGGTAGAAACCAAAATCATGGTTTAGGATACAAAACCATGGTTAGGAGATCTCACCTGCCAAACATGTAAATATAAAAAGCACACATTAAGTATGCCATAAGTTTAAGCCAAATCCGGTCAAAAAAAAAAAAAGTTTAAGCCAAATCATATTGTAAGTTAAATATTTAATGGAATTATAATTAACACAGTCAAATTCAAAAAGATTATTATATGGCCATGTGGATAATTTAAGAGAGAGAAGGATTAAAATTATTTTTAAAAATCAAATTGAATCCAACTGATATGTAAATTCGAACCCACACTTTTAACAAATCCCTAAATTAGCAATGTTTTTTTATATTAAAACTCATATATAATTCATAGATAACACAAGTCATAAATGTTTCTTTGTCCATCACGTTTTCACTCGGAATTGATTTTCATCAAATATCTTTAAATTAATATTAGTTAATTTTAAATTAATTTCCTTATTATCTTTTTGCTCACTCCATCACCCGTACTCCGCCTCACAACCCATTGGTTCCGTTTGGTACAAAGCATTGAAAATAAAGAATTGAGATTAGAATTGTAATTGAAAAAATTATTAAAATAGTACTTAGCATAAGTAATTGCTTATTATATGGGATTAGCCAAACCCATGTATTAGATAATGCATGGGTTTGGCTAATCCCATATAATGAGCAATTACTTATGCTAAATAATATTTTAATGATTTTTTTCAATTACATGGGTTTGGCTAATCCTATATAACAAGTAATCTGTTATACTCCTCCGGTCCTTAATATAGGACCCAATTCTTGGGTTAGTTTTGGTCCTAAATATAATACCCATTTCTCATATTTATCAATTTTCTCTAAATTACCCTTATAGATACTCTCTCACCCATAATCAAGTAGAAGAGAGAGAGAGGGGTATTAAGAAAGATGATTATGATATTTTGGGAAAAATGTGTCACTTTTCTTATAATTAACTAACTTACCTAACTTCCTTAATCTAATCAAATTAGTTAAATGGATCTTATATTAAGGACTGGAGGAGTATTAAATACTCTTTTAATAAATTTTTTCAACTGCAATCCAAGTCTCAATTTCTTATTTTTAATACTTCCTGCAAACGCAACCATTGGTCTCGCTGTGCTCCCCTCTGTGAGTCAAGCAGAATCTCCCCATCGAAAAGCCTTTCTATTTGAGCCTCCACTTATATAAAACGCAACGTTTGACAACTTTTCTTTAAAAAGAAAAAAATAAAACGCGGCCTGGTATTTTTATTTCTTCCTTCAAGTCTGGAGACAGACTGTGATGCATAGCAGAGCATTTAAACACTGTTTTCAAGGGTAAAAAGTAAAAGAGGTATTACGAAAATAACAAACCATTACACCATGTTTCTTTTTTTAACCAGTATTACTCTGCACGATGCTTTGATAAAATGCATAATTTGTATTAAAAAATTATTAACTCCAAACCCAAATGAGGAAGCAAAAAAGAAATACAAAATAAATAAATAAATGTAAACCACTATGAAAAATTAGCGTTTGAATCAAAATTAAAAGAAATAGAAAAAGCATGACTTGAACAAAACTTTTTCAGGACATCCATAAATTCATGAACAATTCCACAATTTTGAATAGGAGAGTTTTCATTAGGCCTGCACATGGGACGAGACAAGACGGGACCTGGACAAACTCGTCAGGCGTTCCGTCCCGGTTAACTAGTCAGGAGCCATTTTGCATCCCAAGTTCCGTCCCGCATGAGGAAGGCACTGTGGGTAGGGGTGTTCAAATTGTCCCGTCCCGGTAGGTCTGTCTCGATCCCGATAACTTTGGGACGAGACGGGACGGGACAAAAAAATTTACGAGACAGAACAGAATGTACCCCCGGGACGGGACGAGGTCGTCCTGTCCCTGTCCCGTCCCGGGGTATATATTATAAAAAAAAATTTGCAATTTTCAATTTATCCGGTCCTCCCTTCGTCTCCTCAGCCCTAAAATTTTCTAATAGTTCATATTCATACTAGCCGCGCCTCTCTCTTACCGCTCTCGCCCCTCTCAGATCTCATTCCAACTCTTTGCTTCCGCTGGCTTTAGAGCTGCCCGTCTCTTCCGTCGTTCCGCGAGAAGGTCTGTGCTCACTCCTTTCCCGACTCTCGTGCACAAGGAGATAGTTGAAGCCAAAGCCACATTTGGATCTTGAATCCGGACCACCATCTCGCTAGCGTTCTTCGTCGGATTTTTTATCTTGCGCCCGCACTCTGTACTGAACTCTCCTGCGACCTCAACGACTTCCCTCCCCCCCTCCAAATGAGGGGAGGGAACCAAATGAGGGGAAGGGTTAAAAATTTTGGAATGGAGGGAAGCCAAAATGTCCCCTCCTCTCCCCCCCCCATTTTAGCTCTCTCCAAATTGGAGGTTTTTGGAGGGGAGCTAAATTTTTATATCATTATACCCTTATGATTTTTTTGGTATTCTATTACCACCCATAAAATATATTATTATAATATTTATTTTAAATATAAATATAAATTTAAATTATTATAATTAAAAAATATATTATAATAAAAACTAATAGAAATTATTATAAAAATAAAAAATTATTTAAATAAAAAATTATGATTTATAAAATTAATTGTTTATATTTTAA